ATTAGTAATAGAAACAAATAGTACATTTATAAACATGATACCTTTAGAAAGGAAATCCAATAAAGAGTATATGGTTCAATCTAGGATACTACAGTAGGGGGTCTGTGGTATCTAACATTTCAATAAAAATATACCTATTAAATACAAATAAATGCGGTTCCTGGAACCCCTTACTCGCCGTAGAAACGCGAGGCCAGGAACATAGCAGTATGATATTTAGTTAAATGGCTCTAACACTATTCACTGATTATATTATTACTACTAATCATTCCACATAACCTTCATTTGATATTGAAGTAATTTTTGTTATTTTCTTTCAATTACTACCAATTTTACTAATACTGTTAATTTCTAACTATTTCAATTGTATTTATTTATTTCATAAAGTGTGTTTTTTTTTTTTATTTCAAATAGGCTTTTAATTACTGTAAAAAGATATTGTAAGGTGAGCTTCAACTTTTAGGTCTCAATTATTAAATTCATTAATAATTGATATAATATTGGATTCTCCATATTAGTTTAAATTGTTTAACTTTACCATTGAGTTAAATGATAAATATTTTCATACTATCAAGGCTGTTCATTAGAATGGATAATAGTCATTCTACATAACCTTCATCTGATACTGAGGTAACTTTATTTATTTCTTTATATTTCAGCTAATCAATTTAAATCTTTCATAGCATTTGCTAATTAAATATTCTTCCTGTGATGGGGTTTAATAAAATCAACTAGAGAACTTACTTATTTCTTTATTAAGTGAATATACAAAATCAAACAGGGCAAATATTTACATTCATTATTTCACAATGTTCATCAATTCACTTAAATCACAATATATGCTCAAACTATTTCATTTCACTAATATTCTGTCACAAGTTATCACTAGTTTCAAACAATTGATTTATTCTAACCTCTTGACTATATGTTTATCTCAACTGGGAACCTTCTCTATGTTATTCTCCCGCCTCGCGGTTTCCCAAAGAGGTAGTAGGCCTCTCTAGTATTCTCAGTCAAGAACTACCAAACCTGTGACGTCACCGTGTAATATTTCTTGTGACTTCACAGCTTTTCTTTGTTCGTTTCAACATAATTTTTTGTGATAATCTTTTGTGTATTTTCATTCTTTAGTTGTTTGAGCATGTTTAAATTTGTTTCTTCTTGTGATTTGTTTATTTTCTAGTTCTCATTCACCATTTTTTTTTGGTTTATTCAAAATTATGTCGAACAATTGATTCATTCTAGCCTCTTGACTCTTATGTTTATCTCCAATGGGAACCTTCTCCATCTTAGTCTCCCGCCTCGCGGTTTCCCAAAGAGGTAGTATGCCTCTCTAGTATTCTCAGTCAAGAGCTACCAAACCTGTGACGTCACCGTGTACTATTTCTTGTGGCCACAGATTTTCTTTGTTCATTTTCAACATAATTTTTTGTGATAATCTCTTTGTTTATTTTCATTCTTTAGTTGTTTGAGCATGCTTAAATTTGTTTCTTCTTGTGATATGTTTATTTTCAAATTCTTATTCAACTTTTGATTGGTTTATTCAAAATTATGTTGAACAATTGATTCATTCTAGCCTCTTGACTCTTATGTTTATCTCCATCGGGAACCTTCTTCATGTTATTCCCCCGCCTCGGTTTTTCCCAAAGAGGTAGTATGCCTCTCTAGTATTCTCAGTCAAGAGCTCTACACCTGTGACGCCACCGTGTACCATTTCTTGTGACTTCACAGCCTTTCATTGTTCGTTTCAACATAATATTATGTGATAATCTTTTTGTTTATTTTTCATTCTCTAGTTGTTTGAGCATATTTCAATTTTTTCTTCTTGTGATTTGTTTATTTTCTAATTCTTATTCACCTTTTGATTGGTTTATTCGAAATTATGTTGAACAATTGATTTCATTCTAGCCTCTTGACTCTATGTTTATTTCCACTGGGAACCTTCTCTATGTTATTCTCTCGCCACTCGGTTTCCCAAAGAGGTAGTATGCCTCTCTAGTATTCTCAGACAAGAGCTACCAAACCTGTGACGTCACCGTGTACTATTTCTTGTGACCACAGATTTTCTTTGTTCGTTTCCAACATAATTTTTTGTGATAGTATTTTGTTTACTTTAATTCTTTGTGTGTTTGAGCATGTTACAATTTATTCTTCGTGATGCATTTATTTTTCTAGTTCTTATTAGCCTTTTTCGATGTGGTTGTGCTATTGGTGAGTCATCAATTTGTGATTTTCTCTCTTCTATTGTATCGACCGGCTTTTCCTTTGCGGTCTCACCTTCTGTCCGGTAGGTTGCTTATTCTTTCATATTGTCATATTGATTGAGTTTGCTTATCTTTTCACTTTTTTTACTTGATTCTCATCATGTCTAAACAACATGGAAATAAGAATTCTCCTGGAGACGATGAATCTTCAGCACCTACCTCAGGTAGTAGGAAGGAACACGCCTTGAAGGCTATCACCCTTGAGCGCATGCTTACTGAATTTGAACTTGGCATCCAAGGGATTTCTAAAGTCAACGAAGCAAATCTTGTTGGTCGAGCCTTCTTTGTTTTCAAGGCCAAATTAGTTGTCGCCGAATCATATTGGTCAAGATTCCAAGTCACGTTTTATGAGAGAGCTGAGTTGCAAATGCTGATAGGAGAATCGGACGATTTCCCATCGAACTCGTGGTTGGATCGCTACTCTGCTTTGGAGAATGAGATAGTTTAAGCTAGCGCCACTCTTCTCTGGGCCCAACACACAAAGGCAGCACAACAAAGACAAGCAACAGTCTCTCATCCCGGTTCAGCATTTCATTCCACTGTGACCACTTCTTCTTATACCTACCCTACATCTAAGGCAGCCAACTCACACTGCCAATACAGTGTATCTGCAATTGCCTCAGAGGCAAAACATTTAGGATGCCACTTTGTTGCTGAGCGCCCAGCTGCGCCAGAAAGGCATATAACCAGCGACACTTTGTTGGAAAACCATTGTGTCCAAGATTACTCAAATCAGCAGAAAACCTCCAAGAGGTCAACAGCGCTCCATGAGCCACTTTATACAGATTCTGAATGCCCAGCCGCTTCAGATCCTGATGAATCCAGCGATATTTCGCTGCCTCCAGCTGAGCGTCGAATACATCGTACCTCCACGAGGTCACTAGTCGATCAGTCTTCACAACCCGGGCTCCATGAGTTCCATTCCAAAAAATATGAGCGCCCAGCTGCGTCAGATTCTAATAAACCCGAGGATATTTCGTTGGAAATTACAGTTCCTTCAGTAGCATCAGATGCTTATATGTTTAGTGACATTTCACTTGAGCCATCTTCTTTCATTGAAGATAAACAAGGTCGTCACACTTCCAAGATGTCGTTAGTACGACATAAATATTTTTCTCCCAGGCTCCCTAAGCCTCAATTGAAAACACATGATCGCCCAGCCGCGTCAAGTCATAAAACAGTGAACTACATTACTTCAAGATACTCACATAGGCGGAGGAATGCAGAATCGCAATCCATCTTTGAGAAATACTCAACTGAATACAGTTTACCTCCAGCTAGATACATTACTCTGCAGCAAGCTCTACAGCTTCTTAGGGAGATTATATATTTACTTCGGGTGAGAGATACCGATGTCATCTTGTTTCCTTCATGTATCCACCCAGAACTCTTGTGTTATAACCAAGATGGCGGACACATGATCCTCGGATTGCGGCAGTTCGACAATATCAACTCTACATTCCTTCAGTAGAACCTGCCTTAGAAAATAGCTAATTCATTAATTGTTAAAAACTTCTAATCTAGTTAGAACCAATTGTTTTCAAAGGAATCAAATTGTTGGAAAACTTCATTTATGTCTATCATCTTTCAGAGCGTTCATTATAGTTTATAATCAGAGCACTTTACTCTTAAATTTCACGCAATGTGAAATATTTAGTTTTGGATCCAACATCTTTGCTCAATTGTTTTGCAATCCATCATCTTTGAATTAGTCTCCGGTCTTCCACTTCAGTTTTGATTTCTACTCTGGTAGCTCAGTATTTTGTGCAATAAAGGTTCAAGGTCTTTTCCTTAAATTTCTCAATTCCTAACACTTAGGAAGTTCCACAGCAACTTATTATCCCACATACCTTTTTGTTCCCATGGTCTTTGCAGGGTGGGCGGTATGTGCAAACTTTTGTTTAGCTATTTAATTAGTAACTCATGTGCTACAGTTTCTTTGTTTGTCGTTTTATATATGACACCAAACAGCACACCTTAATATACCATGATACAAGTAATCAAATACCCACCTCAACTCCTTAATAAGTTATGGACTAATATGTATGTAGTATAGTTTCTTCCAAACTTCAGGAAAACCTAAGATTTGGACAATGAAGAGCACTGAATGATCTAAATTCATTTGCTGAGTAGTTGTAATATGCAATCAGTCAAACCGTTTGCTAAAAACAAAAGCTAAAGCAATCAGTCAAACCGTTTGCTAAAAACAAAAGCTAAATTCACTGATAGGAAGTACTACATTCTATTTCCAGTAAGTTTCTCTATGGAAAGGGTTATTAATATCTCAGGAACATTCTTAAAACAAAGTTTTGATCAAATTTTAATTTTTTTTTTTACCTCTGAGATGGAAGATCACTCAGAGGATTGAGGAGTCCATTAACTTTTTCTAGTCTGTTAATGTCACTTATGCAAGGAGTCGTATATATTTATTTTTTTTTCTATCTTTACTTTAGTCATTGTTTATATTCAATGCATTGTATCTATTCAATTTATCAATTTATTTTAGCAAATATGCATTAATTTCTTCAATGAACATTTGTTTCTCTTTTTGCTTGATTGAAGCTCACCAAGGTACCATACAGATGTATTTTTCTTTATTTTTAAATTATTAAGTATAATTTAGTTGGGCGGTTTGTTTAGGGTTGATCACACTAAATTGAGGTTATCCCCCCCCCTTCATGGGGTACATGTAAAGGACCAGGGAAGTAGGTAATACTGCAGCGACGGTGGCGCTGTATGCACCAAAAAACTAGTAATAGGAGAAAAAATGGGCGACTGAAACCACACGGAGAAGTAGACGAACACTCTATCCTCTTCAAGACCACCTTTCTTGCTGTTCTATCATGGGAAGAGGCATGGAGTAGAACACCGAGACCTACTGGACACATGGAGATGAGAAGTGTAGCAGCCGGCCGACCACCGTACCTCAGCATCAAGTAAACGATTGTAGAACATTTATAAGCCAAACCCCCATCTTTATATACTGTTTAAATATAATTATATTTAATTTCAATACAGTCCACTTGTTCATTTCAAATACCCAATCATATGTACCTTATCATATTAAAAATGACGGTACATCCCATTTCAACACCTAAAGTTTGATTGCAGGTGAACTAGTCCAAAACAAAGTATACGCTCTGCAATCGTAAAAAGAAGAGAATATGTTGTAGGAAGATTTAAATCCGGAGACTTCAAATGTATAGAGGAATTTATTTTTATAATTTGCAGCCAAAGCGGATTGTAGTGCTAATAGGGCTTCAGAGATACCTAAAACAAACAAATCGTTCTCTAGCATCACCAAGATATGTATCAAGACCCTAATCAGGTACTTACTCAAATTTGCAAGTGTCGTACGTTGACCAAAGCACTTGAGCCATCAAGTCAAAGTTTATAAAAGGCATATAGAGACTGAGAAAAAAAATGCCGAATTAATGAATCTCTACGATGACTTTGATGTCATATATTTAATGAAGATTGGATTACTAAGATAGGCAGTGCTCAGAAGGGATAAGACAAAGGAGTTGTTAGGAAGTAGCATAAAACAGAGAAACTGGCTGCTCTAACTGTTGAAGGCTTTGACTCTTCATGAGTAGTTGTACCAACGAATAATGTAATATCAAAAAAGGTTAAATACTAATGAAACTAATCAAAATGTTAATTCTATAAAAGGAAGATAGACAATTTTATTGGTTATATTTTCGGACAACTGACAGTATCTTATTTAACATGTCATTAGTTCCTTCTCACATAATATTTCCCCTACCTCGGGCCAGTAATATGGGATGTGGTACTTGAGATAGTTGAGCACGTCACCGTTGATGCAGATCTCATCAGGCCCTACGACCTTCGCCTTCGTTCTGAACACTCCAGAGAAGAGGTGGCAAGCGTACTCCAGGTCGATCCCATATTGCTGGAGTCCGTCGATGAACGTGCAAATACTCTTCTTCGTGATCATCCTTCTCACCCTGACTCCTTGAAAAGTATCCTTCTCGGGTGCATCGGCCTCGTGTTGTCCCGGTGATGTTGAAGACTGATTCATTAGTAACTTTTGGATTTTTTTATCCAACCAATTTTTGCAATTTAGATATTCGTTACTGAATTCTCGTTTTTCGAGGGTCTTGGTAGAACTTTTGCGCCGAAAGGAGCCTGGGGGCATGCCGGTCATTTTGAAAATGTATTTTAACTAATGAACTTGAAACTAGAAACTTACGTTGTTGAATTTGTTTGTTGATGACCATATGTAATAAATATTTTTAATCAAACGGCATATTTCTGTATTATAAAAAGTTCAACAGTACAAATGAATTCGTTCTTCTTCTTAGAGGCATTATTAACTGAAATTTTATTAGCAGGTATTATGTCATGGTCAACATTTGATTTGAGCATTTTTCTATTAGAAAGCAGTGAAAATTTATTTGTCAACAAACTTACTAACTTTGTACATAGAGATTGTGATGTAGTGAGAGATATATTGTTTTTTTATTTTATGTCAAAATTTTAGCCCAGAATTAGGAAAAAAAAATCCGCGGATTATGATCAGAATCGCTTCCTTACCAGTTCTATTGTTAACTCATTACCTATGGTTCAAGGTCTAAGATTTGTTCTTTTGGGAAACAACAGAAACCGTTTTTGAAGTATAATCTTGTTAAGGAAAACTGAACGATCGAGCGAAAGAAGTATATAGTTTCATCAAATCAATAATGGAGCGACTTGACACCAACTATTCATAAAAATTGTACCTGCTCCAACTAACGATTGTATGTTACGATTATTGAATAACAATCATGAATTTGACAAGAATTTAAATTACAGTTTTGAAAAGAGCTTAAAAACTTGTAACCGCATATGATTATTGAACAAATATAACCTACCTTTTCATTGTATTTTTAAAAATTACATTAATACAAAATCCTAAATAGAATTTGATGAAATTGATACTAAACACAATCCCGAATTTTTCCTTAAGCTTTGAGTCATGTACTTATCGGTTCTTTAATGTAGCTTAAAGAGGATGAGTTTAAAATAAAGTAAATTATGATATTCGATAAACTTGGTACAGCATAGTTTGTTTCAAAGTTTCTTCAAATCTTCGTCCATGTCGACAGAGCTGTTTTTAAACAAAGGAGTGTCTGATAATATACGTTCATAGGTAAAATCAAACAGTTAACGTATCTGAGACAGTGAGGACATTATAAGTAATATTTTTTTTCATAATGTCTGTTACAAATGGTATCTAAAACACAGAATAATATTATAAATATATGGGTTTACTACAAGAGTTCAAAAGAATGACAACTAGACTTAATTGTCTAGGAATTAGGTCTCCTTGCTATTCTGGGACTTCAATAATGTAATTGCAAGAGTGATTAGTCCAGAGAATCATAAGCGTTATATACCTTTGAATAGTAGGGGGGTGAAGGAATTCTGGGAAGTCTATGGTTCTGAGGAAGGGCTTCAAAGGCAGTTATCAATAATTAATATTCTTAAGATGTCTACGGGGAAGGGCTAGGGCTGGAGAACTAACTACTGAGAATTGATATCCTTATTCTTTAGTATTGAAACGAGCTTCGTGAAAAAGGGCATTTTGTTTAAATCTGTTATTGTTCCCTTAGAAGGTCTTGTGTCCAGTTATAGTCTGATAAGTACTTCGAATCTGTCAGAGTGCTATGTATTGTAAAGACCGCCGGTGGAATAATTATTTTAAATGTATAAATAAACATCATAAGTGTTCACATCTGGCGGTACCTGACTGAGGGTAACCCATTAGGACAACCTTTTGTAAGTGGTAATAAAAACCCTTAAGGACCACCGACAAAGACCGACAACTAAGTGTTTAAAAAGGATCCCAAAAGACCTTTTCACACCTTCCACCAGAAATACCTAAGTCTGTACCTGCGGCTTTACCTTGGCCTGGGGGAGAGGGCGTGGTCATCCCTTAGGCTGAGAATATTCAACCAATCAGGAAAAAGACTACCAAAAGAGAGGGGGATGAAAAAAGGTGGGAAATAGAGAATTTGGACTGGACACTTCTTTTTGGAACTCAGAGGAGAGAGGACTTCTTCTTGGGACACGGAGAGGAGGAGACTTCGTCTTGGAAGGCAGCTGAGAGCACTTCCTCTGGGGACTCGGTGGAGGAGAGCTGGGACACAGGCTGAGACTGGATCAGAAGACAGCCGGAGAGAGCAGATGGACGGACTAGACGCTGAAGGAGAGCAGAAACAGGGAATATATGACGGCTAGAAACACCTAGAGACACTATGAAGGACCAGCTAAGTGGTAAAAAGCATTTAGTTATACTAATGTAAATTTGTGTTGGCAACCATACATCATTAATTAATATAATCAATATAACACGTAACTTTAATTAAACATCAAGCATTCTCCTCCAGTATGATTCTCAACTATTCATTATGTATATAGGTTTAGTTATTATTTTGTATTGTTTTTGGTTTTATATATGAGTTTGTAAATATAATAGTTAGTAAACCATCTTAGTACTTTTACATTCTACCTTGCATGCCACCAATTAGTAATAGAAACAAATAGTAAATTTATAAACATGATACCTTTAGAAAGGAAATCCGATAAAATTATATGGTTCAATCTAGGATACTACAGTAGGGGGGCTGTGGTATCTAACATTTCAATACAAATATAACTATTAAATACAAATAAATGCGGTTCCTGGAACCCCTTACTCGCCGTAGAAACGGCCAGTAACATAGGCCAGGAACATAGCATTTAAAATGGCATCCCATGTGAAGGACGTATCATTAAATTTACTATTTGTATCTAAGATTAAATTAATAATTGATTTTTTAGAATTTCATTCCTATGATTAATAAAGGTGGCATTGTAATAAGTTGGTACTAAGAATCGTACAAGAGGGAAACATCTTTGATTTAATTTAATTTGGTTATTTGAATGTAATGAAGTTGGTTGGTTTGAGATAATTTAATATATATAATATGATTGTTTAATGTAATGACTGTAAAACTTGATTGATTGAGTGTTGTAACATACAAAATTTAGTTAAATTCTTTCCTGCGTTGATTTAAAAACTATGCTGATTCTGCGGTTCAATAATTTGTGTCAAACCTATTTTTAATATCGAAAAATCTTCACTCTCCTATTTAATGGTCTTGTATTAAAAGTGGCTTGTTTATATTGCGGTTGATTATTATTGGGATATTTTTTAAAGGTATTGGGAATTATTTTTATGATAGCGTTTAACCCCTTCCTAAAAGGTTAAAATAGGTATTAAATTAAAAGGGATAATATACGCACATACTTTTTAAGATGGCTCTTAGGGTAGAAACAGAAATACTACCAAAGCCTAAACGATCTGAAGCAGTAGCTGATCAGAAAACACCCAGAAAACCAGAACTGAGATCAACTGAAGAAACAGTGATTCAAATCCCGAAGAAAACCCAGCCACAGGCCAATAAGAAGATAGAGGATAATTTTAGTTCAGGAGAAAATAACATGTTTCTAATACTCCTTCAGAAAATAGAAGAAGGCAACAAAAAACTGCAAGAAAATCTAATAGACATAATGGGTGAAAGTATTAGGAATTCGAAAAGAAGCCTAATGGAATCTATAGACAGCACAGTCACTAAAGCAATAGCCAAGTTAAATAAAAAGACAGGAGGAGAAGACAAGGGTAACAAGCATTTAGTTATACTAATGTAAATTTTTGTTGGCAACCATACATCATTAATTAATATAATCAATATAACACGTAACTTTAATTAAACATCAAGCATTCTCCTCCAGTATGATTCTCAACTATTCATTATGTATATAGGTTTAGTTATTATTTTGTATTGTTTTTGGTTTTATATATGAGTTTGTAAATATAATAGTTAGTAAACCATCTTAGTACTTTTACATTCTACCTTGCATGCCACCAATTAGTAATAGAAACAAATAGTAAATTTATAAACATGATACCTTTAGAAAGGAAATCCGATAAAATTATATGGTTCAATCTAGGATACTACAGTAGGGGGGCTGTGGTATCTAACATTTCAATACAAATATAACTATTAAATACAAATAAATGCGGTTCCTGGAACCCCTTACTCGCCGTAGAAACGCGAGGCCAGGAACATAGCAAGAGATAGCCTGGCTATATACTGGATAGCTTTGTCCTATTACCCTTTGAGCTATGGTAATTTTTAATAGAAAACATGATTCACCAATTGGCATATTTAGCAAACTCGATTATTAAAATAAAGGTTAAATTGATATTTTAATTTGGTTTCGGATCAATTCCATTCCGTAACTAAACGAATGCACTCGCTGTAATTCTAAGATATTGATATGCGACAAACTAGATACGAACCCACAAAATCTCTTAATATTTAATGTAACTCGAATTAATGATGTATATGATATGGCATTGATTTGATTACATGTACACAGAACTAATTTTTTTTTCCTTGATGCATTAAATGTAACTTTATACACGATTCAGAAACATTTGAACATTTATCAATTGAGGAAGCAATATCTAAAACCAAGAAGTTAAACTTGATGCTGACATGATGATCGGTGGTTATAAAATAGTAATTTCCTATCAATGATCGGACCAAAATCTTTTATCTGTTATAGAGGTGTAAGATTTTTTTTTTTTTTGCATACTCATTAAAATATATTTCTTCGTAAGCTATGTTCTTCTTACGATTAATGGTATCTCTTCTGCTTCAGCTAACGTTAATTATTATAGTTACTATTAGTTTCTGTATATTTATTTTTATTTATTGTAAATAGAGTGTGAGTGTGCTCTCTGAACACTATTATAAATGTCCTTGATTGTGACATAATGTAATATTTCTGAATAAACAAATAATAAAAAAATATCACCGAAAAATATTTGGTTGAAAATTTCTTCATTCACTGTAACCTCCCTTTGTAGGCACAGTACTTAGTCTAATTTCCATTGATTTGGAATATTTCTATAGGGGTGACATGAATGTGTTGAAATTTGATATGGTTCATATTAAACTATGTATTAACAAAAAGCAATAGTACATTAAAAGCAAATTTCCGTCGGCATAGAAATATTAGGTGTAGTAGTAGGCGTCGTCCTGTCTATTATTGGGAGTAATGTTGACATAATAGATAATGACATTTTTGTTAGTGCACTTGTGAGGAAAAATAACATACAAAAATAAAAAAATTAACTCGTAAAATAATTTTAGTTTTACCTCGAAGAGGGTTAGCTAAAAATAAATTAGTTTTAAGTATTAGTTGTAAATATTAATTTTAAGTCAGTATAACAGCCGCCATATGAGAGAGAGAAACAAATGACAGTTTAGAGGGAGACGGCAGGATGTAATATTTCTAAATAAACAAATATAATAACAATATTTTTGACAGTATTTAAGCTGTGAATAATAGCTGATACCGTTGCATTATAAATCATACAGTAGTAGTACAAAACGGATAGGATAATAGATTTATATAATAATATCATATTTAGCGGATTTGAGCCGCAATATACCCCGGCCAAATTTTTGATATATCTAAGTTTCCATACGCTTTGTTTTTAATATTTGTCAAGTGAGATTTGAAATTCATTATCCTGCCTAAGTTCAACAAATAATAATTAAGTAAAAAATAATATAGAACATTTTTATTTATGTTATTTTCAGTATTGAATGGCAGAGCAGAATGAAATCAAGAGGTGCGGGAAAATATGAATATAGAGCTCTGTATCCAACAAATATGAAGGGAAATTATTAGAGGGATATTAAGACGGTCATTGAAATTCCTCAATTACTCTTCACTATAGAACCGAAAAGGGGGGGGGGGGGTTGAAGACCGTAGTGGTCCCAATGAACAGGCCAAATGCCTCATGGATTC